CGAACCCTATGGTTGATGAATACGGCCAATGAACCCTGAGGGTTAAACTAACCCTGGAGGGTTAAGGCGTCAGTTATGCGTGCGCTGTGCGAACTCACACCACAGAATGCCTAAGTACGCTAAATTTACTTTATACTTCTATTCTTTCACTGTTATAGTAGTATAATCAATGAATAAGCTTCTAGCACTAGTTTTTATAATACATCTCTAGCATATTTGTGCAGCATCCACTCTTACAGCGTGGGTTTATTTTCATGTGTGCATTGTGCCGTGTAAGTTCTTTTGCGTAATTCGTTTTATACCGGGCTTATGCTACTTTTTTAGGGGTCAGTGCGTGTTATCATAAAGGGGTTCTTCAGTTTTGGCACTTGTCAGAGTGGAATGCGCAACCATTTTTCCTCGTTGCATTCATTTGTCACTAAGCTAGGATTTTTTTTCTCGCGAAGTCAGTGTTTCATGTACTTCGAATTTGAACACGAAACGAAGTTGAAACTAGATACTATAACAACTAATACTAAGTACTACAACACTCGTTAATCGTTTTCTATAAAACTACATGCGAGTAAATGTTTGTATGAAGTGCTAGGGTAGAGTTAACCTTGCTCTGAGCTAGGGTTAAATTAACCCTGATGAATCACGTAAGCTTAACCCTCCAGGGTTAGTTTAACCCTCACGGTTCGTTGATGAATACGGGTTAGTCGCTTTCGGGGTAAAATTAACCCTCAAGGTTAGAATTAACCCTCAGGGTTAAGCCTACCCTGTGTTTCATAAATACGGGTTAAACGCTTTCCAGGGTTAAACTAACCCTCCAGGGTTAGTTTAACCCTCGGGGTTCGTTGATGAATACGGCCACAGGCAGATCTGGACCTATGGGGCTTTTACGTGGAAAGTACTTTTGGGGCCCTAACTAAGGCACTGCCCAAGCGGCAGCTTAGGTAGTGCTCTAATGGCTGAGATATTCCCCTCGAAACTGGCCCCCGCGAACGTATTCGCATGGATTCATGGCAGTTTCGCGCCAGGATCCACGCTTTGCGCCATGAATGCATGCGAAACACGGTCGCGGGGTCTAGTTTCGAGGGGAATATCTCAGCCGTTACAGCACTACATGAGCTGCCGCTTGGGCATTGCCTTAGTTAGGGCCCCAAAAGTACTTTCCACGTAAAAGCCCCATAGGTCCAGATCTGCCTGGACGCTGCCTTTAAGGATAGAGAAAGTCTTACTTTGTGACATAGACGGTTCCTTATGTCACCTTTTTATACACACGCTGGTGGAAAACCTGTACACATACTCAGACAATCGTCGGGGGCAGGCGCTCAGATAATCGCCGGGGCAGGCGGTCCGCAAACTCGCGGTTTTCTGCAAGCGGTCAGCAGGATTTTGGGGCGTGGTCAAACTTTCAGCGAGCGGTGCTTCCTTTACTGTTTAATGTTCTGCCAGCGGGCAGCAACACAGAATCTTCTGTAGGCGCTCGTCAAATAATCTCTTTCACCAAACACTGGCCGAACTTTCAGAAGGCGCTCAGACTCTTTTTACGCAGTTTCGGGCTTACGTCGAGCATAGGTAAGATTCTGTGTGGCAGAGGTGTCACCGTTGGTTTAATTACTCAAGTTTAAGGTACTTTCTCTCAGCGGAAAGTACCTGGGGGTTGCGCGGTCCTCCACAAAGGACCGTGCGGCCCCCGAAAATCCTGCATATTCTCGCGGACTTTCCGCGAGAATATGCAGAATTTTCGGGGGCCGCACGGTCCTTTGTGAAGATATCGCGCAGCCCCCAGGTACGTTTCACTGGGAGAAAGTACCTCAAACTTTTACTTAAACCAACGGTACACCTCTGCCACAGAGAGTCTTACCTGTGCTCGACGTATTGCCTGAAACTGCGTAAAAACATTGGCCCGTAGTAAAGCTCGGTCACGGGAGATGATCTCCCCTGAGGCCTCATATGAGGCTTTGTCGGGTGAGATGAGGACTGCCCACTTTTCCGTGGTGTAACTATGCAAGGTCACCCTACAGGTGAGCTTCAGATGAAGCCCGGCAGGGAGATCAGCTCCCGACCGAGTCATCGGAGATGAGCCGGGCGACGACATAAGGTAAATACTGTGCTAAAGAGGAGAGCACAGAGAAAAACCCCGTAAGTTGCTCCCGAGTAACTTACGAAACATAGCAGATGACGTTCTTTTGCGGTGCAAAACTCCCAAAATTGCACAATTTCGGGCGCCTAAGTGAGTGAGGATCGATGAACAGCTGATCGCGCGACAAAATCGGAAAAAGTTTTTTTGCATTTTCCTGCAGTTGTTGCTGTTGCAGGGACCCGCAACAACTCTGCGTCTCTACCTTGCATGCACCTCGCACTCGCCCGAGCCTACTGTAAGATTCGGGACAATTTCGGAGCAAATTTCAGGTTTGGTAGACCCACCCATTCGCTCCGAACTTCAGTCATCGCTTAGATAGGGGGTCTACTTTAACATCGCTACAGAAACCCGGAGCCCATCTTTTTGCCGGGACGCTGCCTTTAACTGCAATTCAGTGAAGCTGATTGAACTCAGATTTGCAGTATAGAGCGAACTCCTATCTTTTTTGTTACTGCAGGATTACGGTAGGGGCTTTCAGCATACTGCGCCATGGTGAATTAGAACATTTGATGAAGTTCCAAAAATGTAGAAAATTGTATATGAAGGTTTTCAAGCATGCTGATTTCATTACCCAAATATTAGGTCGTTCCGAAAGAATGTCGCTTTTTTAAAGCGTACGCCACATCTCGTAGAACAAAGGTTTGTAAGAGATTCTGGTAGCATTTGATGCAGCATTTCATTCTCTTTCTAATGGTTGCATGAGCAATGCATAATAATCAATAAGCTCTTGAAGATTTACCAAAAACTGAGACCCATGCTTTTTGAGAAGGTCAAGTTTCACATTTTTCCAACATTTTAAAACAACCCTCAGAAGGAATCCAAGTAATGGATGGATAGAGCGAACCCTACAGGAAACACTACTTTTTTCTACTTTCCAGAGCTCGTCATAATTTTTGTATAGATTTTTTGATGGAACCACCGAATTTTAACATTTTCGCCTCAGACACAAATGCATCAAAACCAATAAATCTTCGGATTCTGAAACTTTCAAAGATGGATTATGGTTTGACACTAATTCTACAAACCAAATGAGCATTCACCGCTTCAGATTAGCAACTTTCGAAAATTCCGTCTACAGCCTAGGGCGACCTAAAAAACCTGCATTAGATGATTTTATCCTAGAAAACTTGATGAATCGGGAACAAAAAACAACCGGTAGAAAGAGGAGGAACAGCTGCGTCAAATGACACCCGAGTTGCCTGCCGGTTATTGTTCTGTGAGGTTTGAGTTGACCAAATATGACATTTGATGGCATTGAAAAATTGACTCCAGAAACTCTAAGAAGCAAGCTAAGGAAAAGAAAAAACTACTGTGTGTTCTATAGAGTTTGCTCTATCTAAAGGCCACTTGCCCTTCCTTTGAAAATAGGTACAAAAATTTAGAAAAATAGCCGAACTTGACCATGGCAAAAAGCATGAGTCGCAGACTTAGGAATTTCGAGAACTCACTGAATATTCTGCAAAGAAATTACAACCCTTAGAAAGAGGATGAAATGCTGCATCGAATGCTTCTAAGAACTCTTGGAAATCTTGATTCCGTGAAATGTGGCGTTCATTTGAAAAAAAAAGCGACATTACTTTCGGAACAACCTAATATTTATAGATTTCTGGAACTTTTTAAGAAATCACATTATGGAGGAGTGGAAAAGCATTCTTCTGTTTTTCTGATATAATTCTTGAAGGAAGCGACTCTGGTATGCAAATTTCATATATGAGATCAGCGAGTCTGATTAGCCTAGTGTGAAAGTTTTTGATTTGCTTGGCTTCATCTTGAGGTGAAAGGGAAAAGGGATTTCCAAAGCTTTGGAACGCTCTTTTTCCTACCGTAATCCTACAGCAACGAAGAAAGATCGGAGATTTGCTGCTGTTGTAAATCTAAGTCATAGCTAGTCTACAGAATGATGCCTAAAAATCGACAAAAAACGTTAGAGCAAACAATTAAAGAGCAAACATTGTCATCTTTTTAGGATACCAGTACTTTTACAACATGCAGTAACAGAATGACAGCTCTTCGATGTAAATTCTGAATCCGACATGTTCTCACATGTTGCCAACATTTCAGCCATGCGCGCCGCAGGTAATAAACGCTGAGTAGGAATAGCAACGAATGTGGAATGGACTATATTTTGCCTCTTTCGCAGGTATGGTTTGAGTTTTTCAAGGAAAAAGTCTACGCTGCCGGTGTAATCAAAAATTGGACTGTACCCTATTTGTCCATCACGTCTTGTTGAAGATCCTGACAGATGAGCGTCCAGTGGTGTCCGGTGATTTGACCTCACTTCTTGAGCTACGGAAACATTGTGCAAGTGAACCATAATTTGCTCATGAGCAACTTGAGATACACGTCATTTGACGTAACAATGTGGTACAAGAACGTACAAAAATTTTAGAAAAAAAGGAGGAAGTTAAAACATTTGAGCAACAATTACTCTGATTCTGTTGCGTCCCCTACATATTTCTTTTCGCTTCAAGTCATCGATATCTTTGCTGAAAGACATATCGGTATGCTATGTATACGCTACCACAGCACAAAAGCTTTGGTCTCAAGTCTTTCCAAATGCGGGCAGATTATTGCCAAAATCACTACAGCTACTCCATTTCTTTCAAGCTGACATGTCCAATTAACAGAAAAACATCTAAATATTGAGCAACGAGTTTTCACAGAACTAACTGTAATTAGACTGATCGTAACAAATTCCGCAAACTACTTCATTCTTCTTTGCATTATGGATACTGTAGATTTATGGCAACTCTGACTGAATGTTCAGCCAAGTTGAGTTGTTTAGTAAATAATTTCCTAACAAATTTGAAATTCTGTCACCTACATTATGCTAGCGAACATCTTGGAAGATTTATTCGAAGTTTTGTATCAGAATAAAAATTGTTAGTTCAATATGTACATGAAAACTTGTCATCTGTGGAAAAGACTTCGTACTGTTATTTACATGCAGCTCGGCGGCGTCCAGCTCTCATTCGTTACTCATTTCGGACCTAAAATTGTAGTTTAGCTCAGGATTTTGACGTATCCCATAAAAAACACTCTCAAAGCAATTTAAGTACGTACAATAGTGTGACCTTCATACCCCCACCCCCAAGCAAAATCGCAATGGATCGTCTTAGGAATTATCCCCAACTACAATACAAGCTAAGAGCAGATACGATTTTCTTAAAAAACATCTCAAACTCTGAACTCTAGTTTGATCATGATTTCAGAAACTTCACCTAGAGATAGTGCCCACAGTTGTGAGGGAATGTTAGTACCACTCCAAATCAAAATGTTCAGGGACAGACGGACGATCGCACCTTTTTCGCGCTTCTAGCGGTATTCTCGGTATTCTTGGCGGGACTCACTTCCTCTGGCAGTGGACTGCGTTTCCACCTGGGATTCGCAACCAGAATCATAACGATTAGTGTATATAGAAATACACAGACGCCAAGAAGATTTGAGACAACCTGCGGTCCACAGAGTTCATGTCCTTTCGTCCAGCAACTTCAAAAAAGATCTTTATATGATCTATCAGATAACTGGACATTATTGGCAAACTAACGTATGGTTCCAAGCGGCTCTTTGAGCTATTCCCATTCCTACATTGACAGCTAGAAGTCCGAAGAACCACAGGCCACCCGACTGATGGAAGGGCATGTAGAGCTGGCGAATAGTAAGCGGAAGAACTGGATAGACGAAGCAGGAGAACGCAAAGGCATACTACAAACAAAAATTTAAAGTTACTTCATTGCGTATGTCACTTGATCAAAAAGCATCACAATTATCATGGGGTCTGAAAATACAAAAGAGCGAATAAAAGTTGAGTAGGAATTTATGACTATACTCGGATGGGGAAAGAAAGACAGCGTATATCTCACGTTAGAGAGGAAAATATGATAAATTGCCAAAATGTGGTATAGGACTGCAATGAAGGTTATGATGATGCGACCCTAGTCCCAGAAAATTCGTAAGGATGAAAAGTTATTTTTTCAAAGTGATTTCATAAGCGGAATTGTGCGGTTTCCCATCCAAAAATTCGGAAGTAATTGAAACGAAAATCAACGAGTTTTTTGAATGGTCCTGTGCTCCACCTGTCTCCAAAAAAAATCTATTGAGTTTTTGAAAAATCTAGACCTTTAGACTGACATCATCACGAGTTCCTCACTTTTTCTTAAATGGGGAGGACTAAATTCAAAGATGCAAACACAGAGACAGATTAGTCTCGGATATGTAGACTTCTGTGGCAGACCAAAAGAATTTTTCGAGGTGAGGGAGAGGGGGAGGGACGGGACAGAAATTTTAATGGATAAAGGGCCGCCGAAAAATTCCTTCAGTACTTCCCAGGTTTTTGCGAGGCCATGCCCAGGAATTTTGAATGAGGGAGAGATGATGACAGGCACTATGCAAAAAAATTATACGAGACTTGCTTGAACTTTTAGGTTATTTCTGGTTTAAAAGTGAAACAAGTCATACGCGTTTTGTATATGTAAGCCACTTTGGGGATTTAGCGATTCACTCGGAAGGGAGGGCTCAAGAAAAACAATAATTACCTGGCCACCCAGACCGAGGATGACGAAGAGTCCAACCCAAGAATGGAGTGACATCGCATGCGGGAACTTGTTCATATTATGTGAATCATAAACGGCCTTTGAAGCGATCATCGAGGACAGCAACACCAATGTCATTATAATTACGTGCATAGTTTTAGTGAACTTCTTGCTTTTGTGACGGAACACACGGTACACCATCACGGCCTCTCCGAGAAGAAATACCTAAATAAAAGAGGTAAGTCATCTGATACGAGTAGGTGTGTAAATTCTAAAAGGTCTGGTTCAAACTAAGCAATTTTGCGGTGAGCGGAGTGGACGTGATTGCAGACTGTCTGCGTCTCTTCACAACGTGCACTCTCTATTACACAACGCCTACCTGATCACAGGGGACGCGGACAGTACGCAATAACGTCCGTCCATATGCAGGATTGCAGCTTTAAGAACCAAAAAATGATAGTTAGTTATTTCCTACCACAATGATATTGAACATCGGATGATAATTGAATGTGTGGACTGGGTCTCCCCATGCGAAACCACCACTATAGCTACTCATCCATATCGCCACTAATATGACAGCCAAGCCTCCTGCAAAGTCCATCTGATAAAATGGAGCTTAGATGGAATTAGAAAGATTTTTACCCAATAATTGGGATACTGCGAACAAGCCCTTGAACAATTTATCACTTTGTTCCTCGCCCAGCATTTGAAATTCCGTTTCAAACAATAACAGCGACATGTTTTGTGGTTCCTGAATGGATTATCGAATCGGACTACACTCAATAAACGCTAGAACTGCATGCGTAGATTTGCGAAAAAATTATATAAATACTTAGGAGAAGGGCTAACATTGACCGTGCAGAAATCTGTCACAAAAATAGACAGGAGACACATGATAAATGGAAATTATACATTCAGATAAGAAGTACGAACCTAGGTTCATATTATACTACCTGTTTACAATAACAAGTATTACCTACATATTTGTCGTTATCATACACTCGTAAGTCACCTGATCGACCTTACCAGTGACTGAAGAGAAAATCGGAAAGGGGATGGGAAAGACTTTTTCAATAATTACGGCTTTATCATCTTCAACGAAAACGAGAATAAATAACACAAATGGATCTAGCCAAGTTGATTTTTGCCTTCCAAGATTAGGACCATGACCCCAAATGCGTCAGCCCCCCCCCCCAATTTTTTGTTTTCAAAGCTTATTTGTGTTTTCAAAAATCTATGAAAGATTACTTCAATTTTTGCAGGTAAGAACGAGTTACTTGCGCAATTTCATAGCTCACGTAGTCCATACCTGTCACCCCTCTCCCCTCATTTGGTTAGAAAACAGGTGCAACGCCATTTTCCAAATTTCTATAATTCCAAAAACATATTAAATTTACCAATCACGCTCCAATAATTTATTTCAGGGCAAACCAAAGGAACACGCTTATCGTGTTGCTATTTCTACATAACGCATTTTATACAAATTTATCAAAAGTCTCACCAAGCTTTTTCGGAGGAGTTCGAAAAGCAAATGTCCGCACGCAGGTTTTTAAAAATTCCGGAGCGCTCAAGTCTTCCAAAGCGTTCGTATACAAAATTTTTGTCGCGCTCCTCCCCCCCCCCCCTTCCGCTCAAAAAAACCGAACGCTGCTTGTTCGATACTCTCTTGTAACGAAAGCAGAATTACTAGAGATGAAAGCTTAAAATTCTCTTCAAAGACAGCTGGATATTGAACAAAGCAACGGTATGCTATAAGCGGCTGCTAAAGACCATGCTGCTAGCTGCAATCTAAAAAATATTCTCGGGGCTGGCAACATTCCAAGATTCGCGCCTAATGAATGTGCAAACGGCGGGCGCATCTGGTTAGCCTCTCTACGAGCACAAACAAAACACGGGCTAATGTGACATTTCTGGAGGAAAACATAAACAAGCGTAAACAAGGTGAAGAAAAGGAAAGTCACTTGATTTTGAGATGACTTGACCGATTCAGATAATATTGTAAAACTGCAAGAGTATGTGCATGAAAGAAAAGCTAATGTTGGACTTTTGTGGAAATAATCAGATGGAACGGTTGAAAATTCATGCAAGATGCCAATATACGGTCTCCAGCGACTAGAATACAAAGTGGATCTGGGAGAATGTTAGCGACGAGTGCTTGTCAGATCTGCAGCCGATGACTTGGATTTATTCAAAAGGAAAATAATGGCAGTAGGTATTTCCTCCCACATTTGAAGTACTCTATTAGGGCCCAAATGGCCGTAATAGTTTTTGCTTAGTAAGAAAATTCCATGCAGCTGTAGCAAACAGATAAATTTGGAAAAAAGCTGCGTGAAAGAAGACGTTTAGCATACTTTTTCAAATCATCCTTTTAGATGCAGAGAAAAACGCAGAAGTAACACAAAAATTTTCTTCGTCTAATTACTCACAAGGAGAAGAGATAGGCGTGCTGAAGAGCGTAAGATAAAGTGGACTAGAGAGTAAACTGGGTAGAAGCAAAGATGTTTCTCAGTCTGCTTCGTAGTTGTTGTTTTTTTTTCAGATTTCCCATTCTAATTTTCTGTTTTCCAAACTAATGGTAACGTCTAATAATCTCAGATTACCAGTGGCGTACCGAGGGGGGGGCGGGGGGGGGCGCGCGCCCCCCCCGAGAATGGGTCGCGAAATTTTTGAAAGTTACTCATATGGGTTATAAAAATGTGTAAATGACTTGTTATTTTTGTAAATAATTAAAATAATCTTTAAAAATTTTTAAAAAATTCAAATTAGCCTTGTAAAAAAATTTTTTTCGGGGGCGTGGCTGACGCCACGCCCCCTTTTTCCAGATTTTAGGGGTTAGGGACCCGAAAAAATTTTGGGAAGCACCCCTAAAATTTTTTCGGAGTGCGTGGCTAACGCCACGCACCTTCTTTAGAAAAAAATTTTTGTCGCGCCCCCCCCCGAGCCGAAATCCTGGGTACGCCACTGCAGATTACATATACCTTTAATTTTTCTACCAGTTCCAGTTTTTTACCTATCAAATTTCCCTATTTATGCCACTCATAACAAAAAACCACATCATTTACTACTGTGCTAGTCGCAAGAGCTTATCAAAACTACTGTTACTCTCGCCGGCGCGGCGATAATATCCAAAGATTCATATGAAGATTTCTTAGCCAGACTCCTAGATTAGAAAATTTGTACAAAAATTGACCAAATGCAAATGGGAATGAAAACTGTGTGCGCTCCAGCTGCAAAAACACCGACGGCATTGACTATCGTCCCTCGCTTAGTGGTAAACAAGTGTCACGCGCATTGATCTGCTGAAGGAACCAAACACCAGGAGGGGCACTACGCTGGGCTATACGTAAAATTTGACGGGAAACTTCAAAAGGTGGTCCATCTCTCATTAGCATAAACCTTCATGTGACTGAACATCTGTTGGAGACGCGCTGTTTGTATCAAAGAGAATCCTCTTTTCTCTTTTTCAAATTACGACTTCTCGCGCCTTGGGGAGGAGTAAACAAGCGCGTCCCGACATATTCACTGACAGAATGGGCACTTGTTCAATACACTGAGCGAAAGTGCAAGAAAATGCTTGGTTAGAAAATTATGATTATCCCAAAAATGGCAAGCAAGGTGACCATATAAAGTAGGAGTTATCAATTACCAAATAAGAGTTTTCCTTAACCTTGGCGGAAAATTTGCTGTATTATGAAGTTTTTGGTCGGACTCTCAATAATATCGATGAGAGAGTTCACTTTATGCTTCAAAATTTGGCAAGACGATTAAGAAATCTTAGGTTAACATAAGGTTGGAACACTACACAAGTCTTGTACAAAAAATCCAGTAAAAAGTTCACTTGAAAATGCTTAAGTGAAAATTCAAACTGTCTTTTAGTTTTTCACTGTATATACGTTAGTATATACGTTTCCTACATTTACATTGGAAATTCAATTTGCAATAGAGAATACTAGGAAAAATAAAATTCAAAATAGATTTTTTGTAAAGACATCCTATTACTACTAACCTTTTCAGCCAGAAGCAGTAGGTCATAGAACCCTATTCAAACGTAGAATAAGAAGCTGGTGGATCTCTTGGCAATTTAGCAAGCAAATTAGAAAGCATACAAATTTGGTACTCGTTTTATCAGCTTCACTGGCGTGATATCACAATGATATTTGTTTCGCACTATCAGAAAGTGAATATTCCTTTGACTTGTATTGTAACGCATCATAGGGGTCCATTAAATCTAAGAAAATTTGCAGTTCTCACAGAATAGCGCAAAACTTATGTCCTAATTTGACACTGAGTTGCCGCATAAGTTCTGTCCATTTTGCAATTTTCTCACTCAAAATATTATAACGTACTTCTATTGATTTCATCGATGAATTTGAGTTCTGTGTGTAAACTGATATTCTGATTTTCAGGTAGGTACCACGACTTGCAGAACGCTGTTGGAGAAGAGAACTCCAATTTTTAGCACTTGTATATGAATTAACGAGCATATTTGATAGTCAGATAGATGGCGAAAATTTAACATTACTTTGTAACCAAAAGAGTCCATAGATTCTTCAAGGGTGCGGGAACTTACCTACCCGAAAGACTTGCCGCAGCGTACCTTAGGTATCATGAACAGTCCGATACGCAATTAGCATAGTGTACAGTGCCTAGTCTGTGTGTATTGTAAGCCCCGCCCCATCCATCGACTCTTTCGTGATGCATCGCGGGAATTCAACAGATTCACAACATTGATGTTCAGCAACAATATCTGCTCAAACTCGACGAAAATATAGATTTAGGGGTTTTCTGAGGCGCTCTCTTCAAATATGTTATTGGTTTTGCGCTGCCTTTTCTTACAGGAGCCGAAACTTTGCTTTGGTGAATTGACTTTTAGCTTGAGAAATCTTGACAAAGAAGAATAAAGCAATAGCCTTAGGACGCATGTAAAACTGCTTTCTCACTTTTTCTCTCGGAACATTGTTCTGAGAGAAAAAATGAAAAGCAGTTTTCTAGTGAGGACAGCATGCCCTGAGGATGTGACCTTAATAATAAAAGATTATGAAGGTGAGCTAGTCTATCAAACGATCAATGTGTACAGGACGCTGCACATGTTTTTGTGATTTAAATATTTTATCTGTATAATTGATATATATTTATAAATGTCTTGGTTCCATGCCAAAAGGTGCTTTGTGTGGGCGGGGCTTAGCTTAGCGCTATATCCTAAGGAGCATCCTTCAGCGAGCTCGCTATGCCTAATTATACCCCGCGGATAGACACCCGTGAGGTGCGAGAATATCTCGGGTAGGTAAGTTCCGTTCCCCATTCTTCAAGGCTTGGAGAAATTCTGAGTATGTGGAAGAAACCGCTTTTGAAAATTAATTAATTCAAATTATAGAACTTTTGAGTCGCAAGCGGTGAAGATCAGTTGAAAAAAGCACAGATCCACTGAAGTCAAACTAGACTTGTTTCGTTGGCAAACTGCAACAGGACATCATAAAACATGCCATGGGTAAATTCAAAAATAATACTCTTGATAAATATCGCGGTCCAACTCACAACTGAGAAAGCTTTTAGAGATGATGCTAAGTGTATGGTAACATTTCAAAGTTAATCTCTTTTCCAAGTACGATGCTATAAATGTTTTTTCTGATTCCCCGGCAATTTAGAGTATCTCCTTTGTTTTCCTAAAACTTTGCGCCCACTGTATTTCTGCTGTCAATGAACGCAGTAAAACAGATGGTTTTCCCTGTTGTGTAAAATTTTGTGGCCCACAT